TCGGTGCAACTATTGTGCTTTTTTTTCTTCACATTTACTCTTATATGATGTGTAGCCTATCTGTTACGTACCTGCTGACATAAATCAAAGCCATCAGATAATTTATGTCTGATCCTATGCCGCACACACACTCACGACTCAAATGTCATCCTGTTCTGTCCCAAATGTCAGTACAAATAAGTCCTCCCAAAAGAAAAGAGATTGTCACTTGGCTGCCATGTGTGAACCTCAATGGCATCCAATTCTTACATGTGCAGCCATTATCTTGAAGCTCTGCACCAGTGCTGAAAATAGCTCACATGCGTATGCAGTCACAAGCATATTTTTCAGTTGATCAAATTAAAGTCATGAAACGAATACCAGAATTGTCAGCAGGAAGGTATCACTGCTTAGTAGGTGTGGTTGCAGAAGTGTAGAATTTTTGACGGCAAGCACCAGCCTGATTTAGCACAATTAGTAAGCATAAACAAACACAACAGTCTGAATACATTACTGTTCAGAGCTGAGATAAATGTACTCTTTAATTTTGATGAATATGGATATATCCCATGGATTTCTAATTAATCATGTGTATACTGGAAGTGTTGTTCATTAAGTACACAACAGTTGACAACACCACCTGCTCCTCTTGTGTTGCTGTCAGATGGTAAAACATTAATAATATTTGGATCCTGAAACATAGCCTATAAAAAATGGCTGGGTTAACAAAAGTTACAGCAAACCAGTTTACCAATTTACCAGTGAAAAAATCATACTTTTTTCCCTAACATTTTGAGCAACCAAAAAGGTTGCACCACTCATTTCGAAGCACAATTGTTTAACTGTCATCAGATAGGAACAACTCTAATCCGACTGGGTCGTGACAGTGACTGCTGCAGTGGATTTATCTGTAAGTTAAACACCTCTAAGTTGTTCCCCGTTTTAGCTGACTGTCAATGTAAACAAGTGAGGCAAAACTGATCTGTCTCACGGTAAAAAAGGAAAAATGAACGACAACATTTTCTGTAGCTAATGAGTCAAAGTATCAAACTTTATCAGCATAAACATGATTCTTCATAATTGGGTCAATGCTCTAGGACAGCATAAGAGAGGGAGTGTTGTAGGGAGTTACTGTTTAAAATTCACTTATTATGTTACTGTTAATGCTCCTTGAATTTAATGAAGCTGACCCACTTTTGTATGTTGACTTAATTCCTGTTTTTCTTACCCAGAAACATTTGCTTGGTGCAGAAGCTAGAGGTGTTGAAAGGCAGGCAATGTTTAGCTTAAAACTTACAAACACTTCTTCAGGGCTAGTACAAAGTTGTCTTATTAACGTCTTGTGTCACTGATGAGCCTTGATCACAAGTCAGCTGAGTTTAGTTTACAGTTTGAGAGTGAGAGAAAAGACTGTGACAGTGCACCTTCTGCTGTACGATGACTGCTCGTAACTGAGAAATGGCTACTGATAACATCTTTTTTATAATTTCTGAATGTATTCACTACACAATATGACACATGTGGGTGTAGATGTGTTAGATTGATATTATGGGAAAGCGGATCATCAATGAATAAATTCATAAATAAATAAAACACACACTCAAAATATGATATATTTATATTCCTAAATGAGTCATTTCAACCAAGATAATCTAATGGACTCCGAGTCTGTCAATAAAGATGATGCTGATTATGAAGTTTCATAAAATGTTTAAAAAGTAGGCTAGTTAAACGGTTACCATATAAAAACACAAGTGATTTAAAATGGGTTAAAACATTTAGAAAAACAGTCAGCAATAGGTGCACTGTGTCCAAGTACACTAAACTAGGTAGTCGGTTTTTTCCCTGTTGAGCCTTATTGAGATGATTCCTGTTATTGATTGGTCATGCCCTGCTGGTGCCAGAAGGAGGCGCGCACGGTCACGATGGATCACCCTAAAAGAAAGGAGGCATCTTGTCTGAACATCTGTTGGTGATCCACTTTTTTTTCAGGTAGGCGTACAGTAAAAATATTTGTAAGATACACGTTGGTTTATGGTTCCTAAGCTGTATTTACGCGTTTGGTAAAAAATGATGATAGGAAGTTGACTTTTTTTATATCATTGTAAACCTTTAGTTGTTGCACTGTTCTCAGCTAGTTTATCTGTTTCTATGTCCGACATAGGCATGACGCCACACAATATTTGACTGCACATTTATTTATTTATTTATTTATTTGGGGCAGGGTTACTAATGTTTTGGTATTTGTTGGGACCGTGAGTATTTCTCTAGGGAGAGGTAAATTGCATGGTTTTGACAGCTGACCTCAGAGCCGTGCAGATATAGCCGAAGTGACGCCAGAGTTTTAGATCATTGTATTTCAAAGTGAAGGGCTGCCATGAAACAGTTGGAACAATTTCCCAGTAACTAGCCTGCTGCCTGCATATCAGTGATTACAAATGTGTTAACACAGTCATTCTTACATCTCTCAGTTGGAAAAGAAAGGGTTCAATATTCAAGGTATTAAGCTCTGAATTATTTTTAGTTCCTTCAAGTTACTTAAGCAAACAGGTGTTATGTAAAACAAGAAGAACAGCAGATAGAAACTGAGTTAAAGCTAAAATGCACTCTTATATTATGTCCTTTATTTACCACACTTAATGAACATTGTAATCACCTTTCTTTATTTTATCATAATGTGTAGACCTACAGTTAAATACATGAATAGATTTCTAAAACCATGAAGATAAAGTCAGCATGAGTGGCAGACATCTATTTTATAAGCGGGGGAACCTTACTGTTACTGTTAACAGATGAAAAACAGGTGTTGTAGTATGTTAATTTGAGTGTGGGCGTTGGGCCCGGATTGGCCCGGAGCATGCAGTGGTAGGTGTCTGCTGGACTTGGCCTCCACCAGGCATCATGACATGCCCGACCCCTGGCCCTTGGGTCACAGGCCAGACTTTTCCTTTCCTGCCATGAGCTGTTAACTGACCTCAGGGCAGTCAGTCAGGCTAGAAGTGTGTGTTCCTCTGCGTGTGTTTCCGTGAGTGTTTACGAGTGTGTGAACCTCGGCACCCTGTGATCTGATTTGCCCTGACAAGGCAACAGGACCAAACAATAAAAATGTCTATTTTCCCTCTCTCATTCGCTCCATCTCTCTGCATGCTTCAGGCGAAATGGGGGAGGTGATTAAGCAGAACAGAGCTACAGCAAGAACGACAATCTCAAAGAGCCATTTTTGGAAATCTAAATCCCCTTTTTGTATATTTTATCTAACCACTGCATCAGCAAAATGTTTAATGCCATATGGCTCACTGTTCTGAAGCATTTTTACACTGGTAGCCTGTACTGGAGAGTGGATTTTTATGATTTGAATTATCACCTATGGGATTAGCTCCCATTTTTTGTCAAAAACCCCAAATGAGCACAAGTGTATAGTACATCCAAGGCCTTGACAACCCTGTCACGACCTGCTGGAGAAGATCAGAGCTATTTATTTCCCTTCTTTTGAATTGCTCCTAGAACCGCATTATTTTAGAAATTCCTTGTTTTTATCTTTGTAACTAATTTGTGTCTCATGCGTTGTCATTTAATTCAAGTCACAGAGCCAAATCCTCTGTTTCCCTTAAAGTCAAATCCCTCACGATCTTTGATAAGCTGAGAAGGTTTTAAGTCTAACAACACTTACCGCTGTTCAGTGTTTGACTTTCTAACCATCTGGATGAAAGAACACTATGTCCGCTGAATAGATAGTGTTTTTAATGTGTTTCACCAAAAAGCCATCTCGGTTTTTTGTATGCAACACAAGATATTAAGATTATTTGATGAAGTTTAAATATTAATAGTATGCGAAATATATAGTGAGACAAATACCACAGACATCTCATTTATGATTCATGTGACACTGTTATGTTGGGCTACAATACATGTCAGTACTGTAACATGTGAGGTTTATTAAGAATCATTTACATTGCAGTAGACAAATTAGGATGGACAAAAGACTATTTTTGGATTCTAGAAACACAGTGAAACGTCAAAACTATATTCTGAGTGTGCTATAGCGACGCAGCTTCATGGATGGCACTGTGATTCTATAGGTTCAACTCTCAACCACTGTCAGACAAACTGAAAGATCTTGACATATAATTAATAGATTTCCAGGCAATTTACATTCATTGTTCTCTGATTATGTACCCTATTGATGTTGATATTTGGAGGATTCATTGTAATATCTGGTCCTCTTTCTGTTTATCTAGAATCAACAGAATTCTGCAAAACACACATTTCCATCAGAGTCAGCTGTATTTAGCTTTTATGTTAAACATTGTGCCTTTGTGATGAAAATCATTTAAGAATTATGAATGTGTTTCATCAAACCTCTAAGCAAGAGAAACACCTTTTTTGGGGAGAATTCTGGATTTCTATAGATTTTATGTGTAATAATTCAAATTGTTAAACCCATTTATGATATTTATTAACCAACTGTGATTTTTTTAGATTTATTTTTGGGCTTTTGCCTTTATTTAGAAAGGACAGTGGATTGAGTAAAAAATTGGGAGAGAGAGTAGGGAATGACATGCGGAAAAGGAGACGCAGGTCAGACTTGAACCTGGGCCGCCTTCTTGGAGGACTAGCTTCCATATTGTATATAACTGCTAGGCCGTCAGAACCCCAATCAACTGTAATATTTGTAATATTATTTATAAAGCACTAAAACTTTAGTTTAAAATATTTTTTTGGTCCTCTCTTCCAGGTTCCAAATCCACTTTTTCATCATTTTCTGCTGTTTCCTCTGCCTCCTAAATCTCTGCCTTGGGTATCTTCAATTTTGTTTCCTGCCTGCCTGTTTAGAGAGACTCTGAGCCGTACGCCCTGCAGCACACTGAATTGTGAATCCAAACAGCTGGAGCAGCAGCAGATAGACAGTGACTGAGAAGGGGGAAGGAGGGGGGAGTGATACAGAGTGAGCGAGCAGAGAGAGAGAGAGAGTTGAAAAGCATGCCAAGTGAGAGCGAGGCGCTCACACCGAAGCAGGCAGAGGCAACAGCTACAGCAACAGCATGCTTGTTCTCCGTCCTCCCTCTCTTGTCTTCTAATCCCGCATCTACGCCGAGGGAGATGAAGGGTGAACTGACCCGCTGAGGAGCACCGTCTTTGGAAAAAAAGGGACAGTCTCACCCCTCCCCCACCTGTGAATGCCTGGATCTTTTTTTTTTTTTACCAGGACAATAAACAAAAAGGAGTGAAAGTTGGTGTGTACCAGCAAGCCTGTCGGCAGGAGGGAGGAAGGGCGAAGGAGCGAAGAAGAGGGGGATGAGTGGCAGGTTTGGCTCAGCAGCTGATGCCAGGGTCTGAGAGAGAGACGGAGACAGACTGAGGGTGAGCGGAGAGCTGGCACGTGTGGAGCGGTGTGTGCAACTTGTTTGCCGAGAGGGAAGGAAAAATGAAATACGCACACAACTGGACAGATGAGGAGGCATCAGAGAGCACGCTTTAGTCCTGGGTATGTACAATTACGCACACAGAAATGTTCATGTTTCCTCAATGGTTGCCATGGTATTTTTTTTTTTAACGCAACAGTGCTGGTTCATGGTTGACGTCTACCCATCTTGACAAGTCTCCCTACTTGCCCTCGGATACTTGCAGCAAAAGAAAGGGGACGATAAGGAAAGATCGTTTGTGTGTGTGTGTGTGTGTGTGGGGGTGTGTGGGTGTGTGTGTGTGTGTGTGTGTGTGTGTGTGTGTGTGTGTGTGTGTGTGTGTGTGTGTGTGTGTGTGTGTGTGTGTGTGTGTGTCCATGGTCATGCTTTCATACTATCCACATCCTGTTATAACATGATTTTTGAAACCACTAGAGGCATTTCATAATGGGTTTCATAAGCTGTCAGCGTGATGCTTGTAAATAAACCTCCACTGCTGGAATGTTCAGCATCACTGGACGAATTAAACAATCCCATCACACTCATATCACCACTTGTTTTAGTGGCTTTAACATCTCTCATTACATATACTGTGAGTTATTTGTTCGGCACACAGTGTGCAGCCATAAATTTCACCATAATAAAACATCTGAAGAGATTTAAACTTTTTGTGACTGAATCAGAAGCAGGGACTTGTTTGTGCACTGAGAAATGTATAGCTCTGCTTACCCTTGCTGCACTGCCATGTTGCATGTCATGTGGTAGGATGACATGTGTGGCCATGTGTTATGTCACTTTGTGGCAGAGTGCATATGGCTTATGACAGTAGGTCTGCATGAGGTGTATCTGCCAGACACTCATCTGTCCATCTATGTAACCTGCTCGTGCTCTTTTCTTCTCCTATTTGCCCAACATTATCTTTCTTTCTTTCTTTCTTTCTTTCTTTCTTTCTTTCTTTCTTTCTGTCTTTCTTTTTCCAATTATAGGCTGTCACCTCTCTACCGCTCCTCCTGATCCTATCTCATATCTCCTTTTTCATTCTCTTGCTAAGCAATTACCTTTACCTGACTCGGCCCCTCCGGACAGCATGGCTGGTTAGTTTCCTGTCTGCCTTTTTTAACAATCAAAGTGAGAGAGGGAGGAGGGAGGGGGGTGGGGTTCATGGCTATTTTCCTGCATGGTCGCCTGAACCTGAGCGAAGAGAGCGACCTCGGTGAAGCCTGAAAACAGCACACTCTTCATGTTACTGCTGCTCTCATAGATACAGAAAAGATATGAAAATAGGAAATAGCTGAGGGGCCTTTTCAGAGCACAGAAGAATTACACCTCTAATCATCAATCAATCAATCAATTTTTATTTGTATAGCATCAACTCATAACAAGTGTTATCTCGAGACACATTACAAAAGAGCAGATAAAAAGACTTTACTTATTGCTATATTACAAAGACATGCAATCAGCTCATTTCCTGCTTCTCATTAACTTGTTTGGGTTTCGAACTTTATCACAGGCCCAGCGTCTTTTAAAGAAAACAAAAAGAAATTTAAAAAAAAACGTTCCCAGACAGAGCTGGCGGGCAGATCGCTCGCAGCATATCGGCAAACTCTCAGCGTCTGACAAGAGAGCTGAAACCCCTCACAACCTTTCCCCCTGGCTGATTCCTCTTGCATTAATTAGTGAATCAACCCTATCTTAGCCTTTTCTTTATATTCTTTTCTTTAACATTTTACAACAGGTACAGGTCCAAAGGAAACATAAAAGCAACCTCGTGCTCCGACCACCCGTGTAACCTTTTAGAGTTACAGTATGACATCTGTAACGTAGCAACACTGTCCTTAATGCTGCCAGAATATTGTGAAGAGACAAAGAAGAAGTCTGAGAGTGGTAATAAGACATTGTAGGATCACTCAGGAGGTAGATGAGAGGAAGAGAGCATAACAGAAAGAGAAGGCTCGGAAAAGTGACATTTAATAAAAAACATGATTAAGGATACTGAGTCAAAGGGATAGGCAGGACAGAAAGTTCAGGTGTGGGCAGGAAGATGCAAGATTATGGATGAACATGGTTTTCCTGGAAGATGTTCATTTCTAATGTCTTTTTGAGTTGAATGGAAACAGAAGAAAAGTGAGCGTTTTTAGTCAAACAGGGGAGAGAAGGACACAGAGAGGAAGAGACACAGATTGTCAGAGGAAGCAGATGATGTTTGATTTATTCATACAAACCTTCTGCTTTAGCCCCTTAAAGGTACATTTCAGGTATTTGTGTGGTTTTTGGTCATCATTTCTATTGGTTATTATAACTCACAAAGTAAAAACTGAAGTTTGATTAAACACTGTCTCACAGCGTCAAGGAACATATTCGATACACCAACAGTGAGACGACTAGAAGATCGTGTTAATCTTGTTTCAAGACTCAGCAGGCAGATGTGTCCAAGAAAAGGCTCTAACTACCATCTTTACGAGCTGATGAACATAGTGGAGCAACTAGGGAGCTAGATGAAGAGGAGAAGAGATGAGGAGATACTGAAGAACAAAAACTGTGCTTTAAAGCAGTGTTTCTCAGCTGGTGGGTAGAGACCCAAAAGTGGGTCGTGAACGTGTGCCTGGAAAAAATATTGTGTAAAAAGGTCTATAAAGCGTTTCAAAATATGTTTGTTTTCGTTTTGTGTCTTTGTTCTGTCACGTTTTGTACCGTCTGAGGTCCAAACGGCACCATTTTTCATTGAGCAATTCGGTTTGAGGTTTTTTATGAGGGAGTTGTTGGTGGGTCCTGAGGCTAGACCAGTTGAGAACCACTGCTTTAAAAGAGCAAATATTAAACTTGGATTCATCAGATGAACACAAACAACCCTCGGAATGATGTATGCTCCGTATTGGCATTTACAGTTCTATCTCTATACCGATAAATGTCAGTATATATTAAATCTTGCTTCACTGCTTTCAAACAGGTACATGATCAAATGAATGCAGAGAAACATTCAATATTCACTCAGATAAAGGCTCAATAGAGAAGCAAGCAGCTGTGTAGCGGATCAAACATCTGCTTTGTCTCTGTCCATTTCTCCTTACTTGTTTTTGTTGTTTAGACAGTAGCCTACTCATCAAGCAGCATGTTTAACAAAGACGACCAATTGCACTTGAGTCTTAAAATGTTCCATTCAATATTCCACTCTCATAACAGGTGATCCGGATGAAGGTTCATTTTATGACAGTGATTTTATGCAATGATCCAAAACCATGTAGGCCTACATAACTATTAAAACAAAAACACAATAAGGTTCATCTTTATGAGACCTCGCAGCTCAGTTGAGGGACGTACCACTGGACGTCTCCCTCTGATCTGCTCAGCAGGTGTCAAAGTGGACTCGCACACATAAGCGATGGGGGGTGGGGGGAGACTGTACGTTAGATTAATGTAGCGGTGGCCTATCACCGTGATTGGTGATCTTATATAAAGAAATATGTATTTTATTATTAATTATTTATTTTATTTGCCATGATTTATTTTTTATTTATTGTTTATTTGGCATTTCCAGCTGGACATTTTGGCCGTTGATCATTTTTGCTGACATACAACTGCACTGCGTGATGCCGGCTAAAAGCTGGTAAATACCGGCTAACATTAACCCTGATATGATGGTCTATATATATATTATCACAGAATCCCTGTATTGTGATGTTATCATTATCAAGGACCACGAAATGCATATTTTTTTGTTAGTTATCCTGCAATTCTAACCCCTAATATGAAACAGTTATTTATTCCAACTGGCTTCAAAGGGTAACTGTAAGACAGTCTAGTCAGGTCAAATGCTACAGTTCTCCATGTTGTCTTTTAAAGCTGGTATATTGATCATAACCTTTAGTAACATAGACTGATATGAAGGGTACACAAACATTTCCATGCTGTTTATTTCATTGAAATAATCATCTCAATGCCCTCGATTATTGTCCTTTCTGGCTTGCCAAATTCCCAAGTTCAAGCAATAAAATTGTTGAATGCCCCCCTTTGGTTATAACAGAAATGACACAGGTTGAATGACACCATAAGTCCCTTTTAAGGGCTTTAAACCCTCGGCGGAGTGAGGCGTTCAAGGGCCATGGGAATACGAGAAAGAGAAGGTGAAAGTTTGGTCAAGAGAGATGTGAGGGTCTATGTTTCTGTTGAAAGAGAGCAGTGAGTGGCTGTGTAGTGAGAAGATTTGATTGGGAAGGGCACTGGGGGTATGTGGGCGTGTTGGAGGAGCTTTAAGTGTAAACATGTATGTGTGTGTGTGAGGATAACGTTTGACCTTGAGAACTGAACCAAGGGTTTTAAGGATGTCCTGTGTGGCAGATAGCTGGCGTTAAATTGCTGGATGGTGATTGAGGCCAAGGGCACAACACCCACAGCTATCACACACAACCTCAAGGCCATAAGACACACAAACACACACACACACACACACACACACACACACAGCAAAACACCAGTCTTCATTAAAGCGTAGAATTACAGTACTGAACCTTGATGTTGCATCAGGGGCTGAAACAGAATTTAATTCATCTGCTTTCAGTATCATCCAGCCAAAAAGCATGAGTGAGTGTGTAATTTTACAGCTGAGTGTGTATGTGTGTCCACAGAGGTTGTGAGGCTTTTAAGATGTATGCTGCTATCGTTTCGACGTATAGCTTGTAAAAAATAAAGGGCACGATCTCGGTCAGTAATGAACAGGTGGGCCTTGTCCTCAGGGCAAGTAACCAGCAGGTGGGAACTACGACTTCTCTGGAGTCTCAGCCTCGTTCACGGCTCCATTACAACCTCTGACTTTTCTTTCCCATCGCCTCTTTCTCACATTGTTCTTCCTCCTTTCACTCCCTGCCTCACAATAAATGATTCTCTCTCACACTTTCCCTGTCTTCCTCATTCTGCCCTTTCACTTTCCATTTGCTTACTTTAATTTACTCTCCTAGCTGCATTTTCTCAGACGTGACTCCCACGCTTCGGAATTCAGTTGATTATTGTCCTGCTCCCAGTTTCTGTCTTGTGTGTCTGTGGGTCTTTCTCCATTTCCCTCTCAGTCTCTTTCCATCACATCTGTTTT